CCCCAAAACCCCAAAACCCCAAAACCCCAAAACCCCATGGTTAAAAAATGAGCATGATACTAAATTTGATAAAATAATTTATATTACTTATCACTGAGAAGGAGATTAAAATTTGTAATCTAAGATATTACATACTCAATCTTATACTTATTATTCATATTTACATGGTAACCTGTTTCTTGATTTTAAGTATCCAATCCTAGGATATATTTGGTTTTAGTTTCGGTCTTTGTTGGTTTGAATGCTGACTTAATCTTAACTCAAATTGCTACAATTCTTTTTCAAATTATTCATCGTTTTCTTAAGAGTTGTCATCATCCTCAATTTCTACTTTATTATCATCTAAATTTTAATGATTCTGCAAAGCCTCATTATTAGCATCAGCACATGATGGCGCAATAGGTCCGCTTATCGATTCAGACTTCTTTTTCTTCTTTTTGTTTCTCCTTTTCTTTTTTTTATCCTTTTAAATTTATTATTACTGTTGCAAGAGTTGCTCCGCTTTGAGCTATTACTGATTCATTACAGATTTTATTTATTCCATAAGATCAAGTTGTTCCGGATTATTATTTACAGTAGCATCCTTTTTAGGCTTCTCTTCTTCCATTGAGAATGTCTTAGACAACTCCTTAGGCTCTAGTTTTTTTGTAGAAATATTTTAACTTTTATCTGTTATCTTGCCATTTAACGTCTCTAATATATGTAAATCAACTCAAATTTACAAAATTCATCTTTTTTAATCATATCAATGATTTTAGAAGCCACACTTTATTTGCTCTTAGAACCGTTAAAATCTTAATAAGACCAATTGAAATAATCTATACTTTGCACTTCTATCTAGATTCGAGTATGTTATAAATCCTCTTTCTTAAGTATTATTGAAAATTTACAACTAGCCTTTTTGCAATTACACCATACCTCATAATCTAAAATATGATATGAAAAATTTTACGCATTCTATGGCTAATTTCACCAGGCTTAAGTTCATTTAAATTTAACTCTAAAGCTCTCACTGAAAGTCCAATATTTGATAGACACTAATTTATTTCTCCGTTTAATGAATTCTTGTAGAAACGAATACTGCAACAATCTAAATGAGTTAATAATCATGATTCAGCATACCTTGACAAATATATGATTGTATATTATCTTTCAAATATACTAAATCTATAGTATTAGATGGGTATAGCAAAGATTTATAATTCATTTTTGGTAAATCAAAGTCTGACTCAGCAGCTTTTTTCATATTTTTCCTACAGTAAAAATAATCTTTAATAAATTTTACACTTGTAATTAGGTGGATTTCATGTAAGCCTTGAATCCATACATATCTTCTTTTGCTCTCTAGCCTTGAATCTAAATATCCCTCAATTGATTAGTGTGCAATAGCATTATTTCATACCAAACAGGTTTATTCCATTTATTTATTCCTATGCCTCTTTCAAATATACCGTTTTCACTCATTATAAAGTACCAATCACATAATTATTCATCTCTGAATATCCTCCATTGATCAATCATTTTAGAAATGCCGTTCATAGATGAAGAATTGTTTTGTTTCCTTATAGTCAAAAATACAACTTCAATAAACTGTCTAATAAGTGGATCATTTAGTATCATTACAAAGAAAAAGCCATGATAAAAAGTTGATGATAATTAGTCATTAAAGTGATCCTAGGGATTATACCCATAGTTTTAAAAAAGCTTTTGGAAGAACTCATTTTTTGTTAAAATACTCACTTTCTCTAAAAACAGTTTATACATTTCGATGAAAGTAAGGATAAATTTAATCTTTCTCTTTACAATCTTTTCTTCATCTTGTTTTGAAATAATCTTATCATTCATATTTAGTAATCTCAGAAATCCTAAATGATCTTGCTAAGTGTCTGGCTAAAAATAAAAAAGTCTAAGTTTGAATCCAGTCCCTGAAAGTATTTCTAACTGTCTCACACTCTTTTAAATTTGATAGTACAGAGTTACTCTTATCTGTTGCATGAAAGTCATCATGCTAAAGATTAGTGATCTTCTTTCAAGCACCGTTCTCTCTAATTAAATTGACATTAGATCTATCATTAATTCTTAGAGATTGCTCTTATGAAGTTTAACATCAGGACTTAGCAATAAGATATCAGTAAGTATAGTTTCAAATTGCAAATTAGTCCTTTGGTATTAGAGGTTTCCAGAGACTGAATACTTAAGCCGGTTAATTTCAATTTATATATACATTTCCCTAAGTTGTTGAGTTTTATTAGAATCATAAACTAGATTAATCCATTCTATCCAAGATGACTTTTGAGATTCTTGATACTAATTATCCACAAAAAGTATCGAGCTATGGCTTAGATTTAACAAGATTTACTGTTCCCGCATACCTTTCGGCCTTAGTATTTCATTTTGTAGTTTTTCTCTTCTGATGTCTTGAGGATTGACAGTTGGGGTAATATTTTAACTGAGAGAGTTTAAAGCGGTATGTTACTTTAAATATTGCTACTGCTTAAATATTTCAAGTATCTTCTACTCTTACTTAAAATTTTTCTATTCTCTCATCATTTTATCAATAGCTGCAATGCCTCTCTTAGTTTCTTCGAATGTAGCTATGTTAATTTAGCCATAATCTATAGAACTATCATCGTTGTCATCAATAATAATATCATCTGAATCGTTATCATCATAGTTATCTTGTGATGAACTACTGCTTGAAACGTCATAAGACTCAGTCAGGTTTTTGCTTCTTAAATATTGCTGTATGATACCATCTTTCGAGTCATAATTATCATCAATCTATCCATCCATTATTCCAATTATTTTCACCTTTTTATTTTAAACAGGAGCTGATTTAGTTTCACTTAGTGATTGAAATTATTGTCTTATTTCATCTGGACTAAGTCCCACATCCTTGATGCACTAAAGTACTTTTGAAAAGCATTTAAAGTGATCGGTCGTTTAATCTTCATCTTAAATCTTGCAAAATCTTTGCAAATATTCGAGATCTATGTACTCTACAACTGAATTCAATATTCAAATGAGTTGAACTCGAATGACTTACAGTTTTCAAGTTCTTAATCACTTTAATTGAGGAGCTTATTAGCCTCTTTGACGACTTCAAAACTCGCTTTGCTTTAAGTTTCATTTTTAGAGGTAGTCTAATAGTGCAATGCACTTTAATATCATTTAAAAGATACCTTGAAAGTAATGTTAGATGAGGCAAGATTTACCGAAGAATTTTCAAATATATGGGTTCGTTTTTATCTTTTACCTCCCATTATTATTGCTTTAGCTCAAATATAAATATATGTATTATACTATATTAGTAATTTAACAATTAATTTTTTTAGTTACTAAATGCATGCTAAGGGGTTTTGGGGTTTTGGGGTTTTGGGGAG